GTTGTTTAGTTCTGCGTCGGTGTATTAAGTTGTTTTGCGTTTTATACAAAAGCATATGTACGCGACGCACTGCCTTGGGGTTGTCCGGTCCGGTACGCACAAAATTTGCTGGCCCGGGCATGTAGAAATGATTTCCAGGCAGGTTGGACATTGGGTCAAGAGATAGTAATGGGTGCTGTTGTTTGTAATAGTGGAGGTCAGGGCGGTAATGAGCTTGGAAGGCAGGAAAACAAAGGATGAGTAACAAGAGAAGAAATGCTCCAACTTTTGTTTAAAAAGATGGGTCTGGTTGAAGGCAACTCCATTCGACAACAAAGTAGAGGGATTGGGGAATGGACAGGGGTGAAGTGGATTGCTTGAGCAGTGGACTGGAGGGGGTGGTGCACATCAACACCTTGAAATTCAGATATGAGGTTGCAACTTTGATGTGTAAACTCAGATTTGAGATTTGATATTCAAATCTGAGCTCGCTATGTTGCAGACTCAACTCTATTTTTTCATGTTTTTTTTTTTCCGGTCAGCTTGTGCGGGTTTCGGAGTATCTTCACCAAAAAAAGCAGCGCACGTTTGAGGAGCATAAACACTATACACAATCACATTTGAGCGTGAATAAAACACTCACCAAGCATATGCAACACTGAGCTTGCCTGCATGTTTTCCCCGAGGAGGATGTTGGCAGGTTTTATGTCGCGATGCACGAGGCCAAAGCTATGGAGGTATTCAAGGCCACGTGCCGCACCAATGAGGATGTTCAATTGCTGCTTAATGGTGAGGCACAAGTGCGCTTCTGTAAAGGTGGGGCATATCAGTGAGTGAGACAATATTAGTCAGCATCTATCATCAAGGAAAAAATAGAAAAAATTGGCTTGCGAGGCACAAAGTCAAGAGAAGTATTGAGTGTATTGAGTACCTGCACTGATCCACTTCTCAATGTCACCATTCGGAAGAAACTCGTAGATCAAGATCTGCTCTGGCTGTGTTTTTATGTCCCCTCCAACAGAAAACCCGAGAAGCCGCACGATGTGAGGATGGTTCTTGCCGGCCATTTGTCGCACCAGGCAAAGGAACATGCCATCATCGGATGGTTGAAACAAACACACATATGTATGTATCTACACATGTATATAAATATATTTTTTCACGATTTGAATCAAAATTTACTCCCCCACTGGTCGTCTCCCCACTCTCTGCCTCCTTCATTTGGGTGCCTGCTGGAATTTGAAAATTCACTCTATGAATGTTTCCAATTCCTTTCTTCAGGGCGAGCTTTACGAGCGCATCTTCTTTGAGCGCCCCAATGGCTTTCCTCACCCTTTTTCTTTAGGCACTGTCTGGGAGTTGAAGCGCCCTAGCACAGCTTCAGGCCCCGCAAGAGTGGCATACCAAGAACGCCTCCACCCTTCATTCTTTTGGCTTCTCCACATTTTGTTCCGACCCTAATCTCTTTATCAACCCCCCCAGTCTCTTTATCAACCCTCCCAGTCACTTTATCAACCCCCCCTCCCCCCCCTTCCCTCCCCCCCGCACGCTTTACAAACTTGCGTTTGCACATGATTTGGTGCTGCTCGCTAAGGGCTCTGCCGACCTTGCCGCTGTCAAGAAGGATCTTCACGCCTGTTTTTTTTTTGCAAGGCTCTTGGCGAGCTTCTCCACTATCTCGACACGGAGATTCGCCGCGATCACGCTGTCCACGCCATTTCTCTCTCTTGATCCTTCTAAATCCAATACATCCTTCAGTAGTTCACGATGTCATAGGCGGCCAGAATACCTCTTCCGGCTAACCATAGCTCAATACCCCTAACTAACATCCCTGCTCCCTCCTCTGACTTGCAGCCGTAACTTGAGCTCGTCGCGTCGCTCATGTATAATATAATGTGCACTCAAACCGACCTCGCTTACCCCTTAAGTGTCCTGTCTCGCTTTGTCGGCTTAGGTTAGGTCGTCACACAGACATCCTCTGGGCGGCTGTCAAGCGCGTTTTGCGTTCTCTTTGCATTACCTCTGATCTAGCTCTCACTCTTGGTGGCTCTGCCTCCCCCGTTCTTTTGTGTTACAGGGACTCCTCCTGGGATGACTCTCGCCCTGATTGCCGTTCCTCTAAGGGGTGTGGTTTTCAACTTGTCTACTCGGTCTTCTTCCATCTGTTTACCTTCCACAAGGCTGAGTTGTACGCAGTACAGGAGGCTCATTGGCTTTCATATCTTCATGCAGAGTTGGTTCACTCTCAGTCCTCTGTGTCGCTTGTACGTGACAGAGTGAGCATGATTCATCTCACAGAAAATCATGTCCTTCACAGTCGCAAAAAACACATCGAGGTGCGCCATGCCACTTCTTTATTCGTGAGCTGGTGCAGTCCGGCTTCCTCCATCTTAAGAATGTGTCATTCGATGCCAACCTTGCTAACAACTGCATGAAGGCCCTCCTTCGTGAGCCACACCATTCCTACTTGCACGCGCTTGGACTCACCCGTCTCTCCACTTCAAGAGGTGTTCCGGTTCGCTAGGTTTTTTGTTCTAGTGCTTTATCTAGCCTGAGGGTGTGCTGGAGTAGGCTAGAGCTCGCTCTGAAATTTATCACGGTGTTATCTTGTTATTTCGCCATGTTTAGTGCGAATCACACTTAAGCGTCAAGTCTAGGTTCATTTTAGGTTTTACCCAGAACTGAACACGCCCTTAGTTCAAGTAGAATTCTCCAACTTTCTCCCTCATATTTTCTCGACATGTTTTACAATACAATTAGGTTCCGACTTTCTTCCTCAAATGTATCTCTTGACATGTCTTGTGAAGAATCTAAATCCCGCAGCATGAGGGGATCGAACGCATGCAACAAGGTACACATGCTTATATGGATAGATAAATTTTCATGTGCTAGGTCTACGCTGCATGTGATTGCTCACCTCTCGTTGAAAGTCAGCATTAAGCAGCTTGGCTCGCTTGACGGCCCACAGTGTGGTGCCATCGCGCGGAGACACGCCCTTGTACACGTCACCAAAGGAGCCCGACCTCAGCTGGTTGTCACTCGCCCAGTTGCTGGTGGCTGTGAGCACTTCCTCCAAAGAGTACTCCGTGCAGTGCGAGGCCGCCACACTGCCTGCCAGACCTGCTCGCTCATGGAATGAGGGTACAGTTGCAGAGCAGATGCAACCGATGGGTACAAAAAGGCGCCCAACGTAAAAATGCCAACTGTGGCTCCCAGCAAGAGAGGCTACTTATGAATCTTGTATGCACTTTGTAATACACCAGCTGCCTCAAAATTTCTCAAATCTGAGGCTTGTTGTAGGTTCGAGAAATTTGTATTGGCGCACCCTATTTGACAGGGTGTTTGGCAGTAGCACGTCTCCTCTACAAGAGTTCGTTGGACCCCCACTGCAGCCACCAATACATCTCATCCACAATTTCCTTCCACACTCTCTGCTTTTCATACCTAGTACACTGCACTTAACCTAAACTGTATACGGCATACAAGCTACAAGCCCATGAGGGAAAGGTGGAGGAGAAAGGGAGAGGTGGAAGAGATTGATCGTTACCATCAATATCCCTTATTAGCACATCCTTGCTCCCTTTGAGTGCTGTGGCTACTCCCTGCGCTGTGCCTTTCTTGTGACCCCTCCACCATATCATCGCACCAACCACCAGCAGCAGCACAAGCACAGAAACCGCAGCAATTCCAGCAATGGCTGCTGCTGACAGCCCGCCAGCTTGGGAGGTTGGCGTTGCAGGAGAGGGGAGGGATGCTGGAGAGGCAGTGGAGGAGGATGAGGATTGAGACACTGTGGCACGCCCTGGAGATGGGAAGGAGAGTGCTGGAGGAAGTAATTGGCGGGCGGGTTGGACATGGAAGGGGAAGGGGTACATGTGAAAAAAAGCTGAGTAAGAAATCGACACGTATTATGACCGCATTATTAGCAAGTAACAAGCTTGCAACATAAACAAGCAACAGGCTCTTTTTTTTACTCAACCGAGTCGAGTCGGAAAAAGATCATCGGGTTAGAAACAAGCTAAATAGGCCGCAGTTTGCGTGTTAGCCTTCAAAAGTTTTCGGGTTTACGAATTTAAGCAAGTTTAGTTTTTAGTTGGGTTGGGTGTAGATTTTTCATCCCCAACCTATCCAACCCTATCCATCCAAAATGTCACCCTACTTTGGTTTGGTCGGTTGGTTCCTTCCTAGGATTCTCTTCCATTTGCATCCTATCCAACCAACCCCTCCTAGTTTGTGGTAATTAAGGCCATGTATCCTACTCTAATCAATAAATTCAACTCTTGTTTTGACATATAACGCCTCACTTGCCTCCCCATATCCTCAGATTTACTTTCAGTTTTGTGTTTTCTTTCTTAGCTACCTAGCGGGTCGCTCCGATGGCGTCTTCTCATCCATTATGGCACCGGGAAATGCCGCGCATGCAGAAAGGCCCGCCTCAACGCCTGCGCGGGCATCTATGCAAGACCCAGTCAACACACGGGGAGGCAACAGTACGTGGGAGGGAGCATGTGACGCAGGCGGTGGCAGACTGCTCGGCTGACACATCGCCCAATTTCCGCATGCGGCGGCAGACAGCTGTCTGCCATCTCCGACATCCTAGCAGCAGTGCTCGGCACGACATTGCAGCCCGCGCCCGCAGCTATGCCAAACCTGGAAGGTGGGAGCACTGCAGCACCTCAAGAGACCCCGGCGGCAACGGCGGCTAATGCAGCACCGGCGCCAGGCCCGCGCCCAGCTGCAGCACCGACGGAAACAACGAAATATATGCACTGAACAAGCAAGCATTAAAAGAGTGAAACCGAACAGCCCACCAGGCCTGCCATGTTACCTTTCTAAACCTAACTGTGGAAACCCCCCACCCTCCCCACCCTCCCCACACCTCGCTGCCGCGTTACCTTTCTATCAAGGAAGTGGTTTCTTTGGCGGTCGCGGAAATGTCCTCACACCAACAAGTTAGTGCAGGGCGGGGTGGTCGCGGCGGTAGCCAGGCCGGTGCTCCATCGTCTGCAGCACCACGACCTATGCAGGGTCGAGTAGGTGACGGCCCTGGAGGAGTGGGTGCTTGTTTCGTCGGTGGGCTACTGTCCATGCCTGTGCCGTCAACCCATAGGTCGTTCCGTTACTCAGGTTCTCGACCCCGTTCTTCAGGGCAGACGCGCACCACCACTCAGACCGACAGTGAGGCGGACGAGGAGGAGGATGAGGACGATGAGGGGGAGGGAGGGGAGGAGGAGGAGGACGAGGGGAGCGGTGATGATAGTGAGCCGGGGTGGACACCCGAGACGCATGGCGGTGCAGGTGATGGGGGAGGAGATGAAGACCATGAGATGGAAGGGTTGGAGCCTGAGGGGGTGGAGGAGGGGGTTGGTGAGGGAGGAGGGGTTGCCGCGGCTGCCGTAGAGGAGGCTTCTCAGCACGTGGGTAGGAGGCGGGTGCGTGGCGGTGGCGGTGTTAAGGTTGGGCGAAAGTTGTAAGTTGGGAACAGGAAGAAGAAACCTGAGAAGCTGCAGACACGAGCGTATCCTTGCACCTTCAAAGGGGTGGATTTGGGCGAGGGTGTGGTTGCTCCAGAGTTGCTTGAAGAGGAGGGAGAGACAGAGAGCAGCAAGGGGAGTGGCAAGGGGAGGAGGAAGCCGGGGTGGCAAGTTCAGATGTTTGGGCCTTTGGGGACCGACAACAAGCGGCAATGCAAGATTTGCACAGATCGGATTTCTTGGACGGGATCCACCCCTACACCTGGCGAGCGCCACTTCGAAAGCTACCACACTGCTCATATGGATGTGTGGTACCACCGTTTCCACAATCCACATCTGCAGCTGCCGGGCGAGACGTTCCCGAGGGGGGGCTACGTGACACGTCGGAGTGTTTGATGGCTACGTGTATTATTGGCTGCATGCAGAAAGCTGGCCAAACATCCCAAAGAAGGGAGGGAAGGCAAAGGGGCGAGGGGCGGAGGGGTTAAGCGAGGCCGGGATCAAGGGCTACATGTCGAAGAAGCTGTCAGAAGTGGAGCTTCGGCAGGCGATCGCCAAGCTGGTGATGACCTGCGACCTGCCCTTCAAGATTGTGGAGGCTGAGGCGGTAAGGGTGTAGGCTGCTGTGCATGGCTGGTGTGGTGTGGTTGGTTGGCTCGGTCGTTGCAGTTTGCAAGTATTGTGCGTACGACGAGAGCATGATGTTGAGCATAATGTCAAGTGAAACCCATCGCCTGCGCGTTGTGTGATCTCCCTCCACCCACCCCACCAGCTTCGCGAGCTTCTAACCCTGTGCAACCACCACTGCGGGCAGAAAAACTTCATACCGTCGCGCTGGACAGTGGCACGCGACACTGTGGCGTTTTCTGCGGCCGCTCTGCATGCAGCCAAGGCGGAGCTGCAGGGGAAGGAGGGGGAGTTGAGATGCAAGGTGTCATACACCATTGACATCTGGACTGCGCCCAATGGGAAAGCTTGGTTAGTTGTGACAGGTCACTGGATTGACAAGTCGTTTCAGCTACGCGAGGCAGTGCTGGAGTTTCGCGAGCTGCCAGGTCGTCATGGCGCGGCATAGATCGCGCAGATTGTGGAGGACACGGTGGTGTCGTGGGGGTTGGAGGGGCGTTGTCTGGGTCTCACCACAGACAACGCCTCAGCCAACATTGCCGCGTACAGGCGGCTGTCGGAGGAGGGTGGTGGTCGGGCTTTCTTCAACTCTCGCCTGCACTTCAACCGCGTATGGGTGGGTGTGGTGTGGGGGTGATATCGGGGTGGCATGTCAGGAACGGCAATTCGGGTGTGTGTGGGTGTATTCGGGGTTTTAGTAATCTCCCACGCCACGGCAACCAAAGACCATGTGTCACTACCTCCCAAATCCCATGCCTGTGGTGCTATGGTTTGCAGAGGTGTGTCACATGTGGTTAACTTGGCAGTGCAGGCAGGATTGAAAGTGGGGGCCATTCGCGCCTTATTGAAGGTGCTCAGAGACATGGCGTCCAGGGTTGGGTTCTCGCCGCAGCGCTCGGCTGCGTTTCTGGGACTTCAGCGGGGCCTGAACTAGCAGGCCCGTGTCAAGAAACCAGCCTTGAAGCTGGTGCAGGACAGTCCTACCCGTTGGGGCGCGACTCATGCCATGATCGAGCGCTTCCTTGAGCTGGAGAACCTGATCACTGTGTTCTTGGCCTCGACCCAGGTATAGGGCGGGGACGGGACATGGGACTTGCGTGGCATGGGTGTGGTGTGGCATGTGTGTGGCATGTGCGTGGCATGTGTGTGGCATGTGTGTGGCATGTGTGTGGCATGTGTGTGGCATGTGTGTGGCATGTGTGTGGCATGTGTGTGGCATGTGTGTGGCATGTGCGTGGCATGTGCGTGGCATGTGTGTGGCATGTGTGTGGCATGTGTGTGGGATGTGCGTGGCATGTGTGTGGCATGTATGTGGCATGTGCGTGGCATGTGGGTGGCATGTGGGTGGCATGTGTGTGGCATGTGCGTGGCATGTATGTGGCATATGTGTGTGGCATGTGTGTTGATCGCATGAAGTGCGATACACATATTGATAACAACCCGTTCGTATGCCTCACAACACCCTAACCCTGACAGGGCCTGTCGAAGGCGGACAAGGAGAAGGTGGAGAAGATGCGCCTGTCAGATGAGTAGTGGGGGATGTTGAGGGAGCTGAGGACATTTCTCAGCCCCTTCAACAAGCTCTCAAAGGCCGCCGAGGGGACGGCGTACCCGACTCTGTCGATGGTGGTGCCGTACTACAACGGCCTGATCGACGACATGGAGGCCCAATTGGCAAAGGGGCCCTCGGCGCTGCTGAAGCCGCTGGTCGAAAAGGCCCTGAAAATCCTGAAGAAATACGCCTACATCAGCAGCAACGAGGACAGGATCGCCACCTTCCTGGATCCTTCCATGAAGGCGGCGTGGTTCGACGACCCTCAGTGGGAGACGCAGCATCCAGAGACTGAGCGCAGGGATCGGCCACGCCTACCGTCGGGCGTGGTGATCGCGCTGGTACGTGAATCGGGTGGCCGAGTACCAGGCAGCGGCGAGGGAGCTTGCTCCCAGGCCCACTACACTTCCCACGGTGGTAGAGGAGGAGGGAGAGAGGGGGGGGAGGACGAGGACGACTTGTATCTCCCTAGTCGCCGACGCCTTGCGGCGCGTCTGTCTGCGAGCCACGCGGCGGGGGGGGGGGGGGGGGGGGGGGGGGGTGGTCTTGTGCAGGATGATGAGGTGAGCAGGTACTTGTCCGAGACAGTGCGGTACGACGTGTCAGCGTTAGAGTACTGGCGCACATCCACGAACATGGAGACGCTGAAGAGGATGGCGAGGGATTATCTCGCGATCCCTACCACGTCTGCTGCGAGCGAGCGCATGTTCTCCTTGGGCCGCAACCTCATTTCATGGAAGCGTCACCGCCTGAACTCAGAGAGGGCGCGATCCTGCATGATCCTCAGATCGTGGTACGGATCGCATCCTAGCCAGAGGATCGGCGAGGGCCGCCGCACGAAAGGGGTCGCAGCACTGGAGATCGCTTGAGGGCGAGGGTGCGGAGGAGGAGGAGGAGGAGGATGAGGAGGAGGAGGAGGAGGAGGAGGACGAGGAGGAGGAGGAGGAGGAGGAGGGGGAGGCGGCGGAGGAGGTGGAGGACGACGCGGCGGACGGGAGAGGGGCGGACGCAGCAGCGGGTGGTGGCGAGGATGGTGGTGTTGGTTGCGGGGCTGGCACTGGGATGTAGTTTTCATTTTGTTGTCTGGTATCGACCCACCCTTTGGTGACCCTCCCATGTTGAATTCTATTATCCTAGTAGTCATTTGACTGTGGACATGTTTTATGTCGTACGCACGTTATTTATGCTCTTAATGGTTGTTATAAACACGGCAAGGCACTGGCCAATTAATACCAAACCGGAAACCCTTCTAGCGGGAACCCATTGCAGTGTTGTTCTCATGTGGTTTTTTATGCTAAGCCCTCAGAGGCGAACACGAACATGTTCCTGGCGAATACGTTCGTGTTCGCCATTGTGTTCGAAATGTTCACCTTCAAAGGCGAACTTCGAACACCCCTTTGGGCGAAATCAGTTCGCCGAACCGAACACTGTTCGATTCGCCGAACAGCCATATTCAAGCCAAGGCGAACGCGAACATGTTCGTGTTCGCCTCGTGCTCATCCCTAGCTCATGCTACTCACATGTTGCAGCAGTGACACATGTGGTGCAGAAGGAGGGGCACGCGCCGCAAAAAGCGCTTCCAGGGTCTTGCTGGACCACGCATGGTGTGAAGTCTGGAGGACATGTGAGTGCGGTCAACTTCAGATCCCTGCATGTATGTGTGCGGGTAAGAAATGATAATAGTCCTGAGACATTCAACTCAACTGCTGCTGCAAAATGATGTGAGATGGCTGTGGACTGTAAGCGTGGTCCATCCATCCCTCTTAGATGGAATGAATGGGCTAGTTGGTGACCCTGACATCTCAACTTGATGAAACGCCACAAGGAAAAGCCTCGAGACGCCTAAAATTTTTGCACTGGCGGCCGGGTTGCCATGTTGCGCTCGCGGGAATAGTCAGGTAAGATGAATTGCAAGTTGCCATGTTGGAGAAAACCGAGCAAATCCATAATCACAAGCTAAGTTGGATATTACGCTTATGTTTTTGTACATTTTACGTTTACGTACGCTTTACGTTACGCACGAACAAGGGTCTGAAGTGAGTTTACGTCTCCGAGCAGGCTTTTTTTTCGCTTCGCTGCCCGGCTTGCAAGTTCATTCAGGGGTTTGAATACGGCAATATAACCATATAACATAATCTCAAAGCACAAAATTATGTGGCGGTACAAAGTGATTTCTCCTGCGAGGTGTACAAAACCAACTCACGCTTTAGCCCCATTTTCACGCGATATCTCGTGAGTCCCCCGCCTCTCCCCACTGTACTACTTTGACCTCCCAACTACCCCTTCGTGTTCTAGTCCCGTCCCGTGACGTACGCGGCATCCAGCAGGCTAGGATCGATGACATACTTCACCTTCCTAGATTTACCATGTAGGGCTAGCTATGGAATAGAATCCTTGATTTAGTATGCTAAGTTCGACCTAATCTTGATTTCCCCAGGTCCAAGCCAGTCAAATTTAGATGATCCGTTTTTTTTCCCGTTGAAAATTTTACCTGCCCGGATACAACTTACGCGTACCATCATGTTTACGTGGGCCAATGAACGTACGAACCCATCTTAGATCACAAGTACTTGTCATGTAGATAATCATTGCATTGCCACTATTGACTCGCTGCCTGTATTCAAAAAAGGTTCCAAAGCATGCCTCACTCACGCTGTACTGAGTTTCAACTGCCTCCGTCCAGTCCAGTGAAAAATAAACAGTACCGCCTCGTAGGGTGCCCAAACGTTGTGGGGAAAGTGTACGGTTTATCCATCATCCCTTCAAATAATGTGAAGGCATGAAGGTCCAGGCAGGCAGCATATCATTCGGGGCCGGGCCTGGGACCAGGCCAAGCCATTGAGGCCTGCCTGTCAGCCTCCAGCAACCGTGGCTCACTCAATTCACTCAAGTTCCTTTTCGGCCAGATTCACTGGTTTTCACATGTCACAAGCTCGGGATGTGAGCGAGCGGGCCCACATTCGAAGCCAATCGGCTTGGGTTGCACCTTTGCGCAGATCTATTGTAGGTTTGTGAAGAAGTGTTGCTTTATGTATATTTGTACATATGTATGTTACACATATATATAGCTACGTTATACATATATGCTAAGTTGGAATATACGCTCAGACCCTAAAGCGTACAGCGTTCATACGTTAGCGTGTATACGCAAAACGCGATACGCTAGGTAATACGCTATACGCTATCAGAAAGTTTTTCGGGCTGCCCAGGAAAAAAATCGCTTGTATACGGAAAGATGTAGAATCTTCTGCTGAGCATTTCGCCGAAGTCGGAATGCAATTCGACGGTATAGGAAAGCGGGAATGTGCCTTTGAAGATTGCAGGAGTTCAAAATTGAACATTCGAAAGTCTTAGTGAGAATAGGTAATACCTCCCCGATGTTGAGGACTACGTTTTGTACCCTGCCCGGAAATTTTTTTTCCTGCCCAGAAAAGCGTATCCTCGATCAGGACCCTCCAGCGTATAGCGTGCAAACACTAGCGTATATACGAAACGCATATATACGCCAAACGCGTTTATGCCAACCTAGCATATATGTAATACATAAATATACCAGTTTTTGCTGTAGCTACAGTTACGTTGCCTTCTTACAAGCTGATTCGTTTCCAAATTGAGGTCTGACAAATGTGCTTGGTTGTATTGCACCCATATAAATGTCAATGTAGAATCTAGTTTGCTTTACAGGAAGCGTACAATGCAAGAAAGCACTAGTCGTCAGTGTACAAGTTCCCAAAAACAGCGCAGTATTACTGACAGCACGGCCATTTGTATGAATGAAGCCGGATTCGGTACATACCTGTTAAAAGCCTCACACACCTTTTTGACACGCTTGCATAGCTTTCGGGCTTACGTACTTCCATTATGAGTCAGAGAGACAGAGAGTCAGAGAGCACATTAGCACAGCAGTGCTGAAAATGAGCAAGCGGGCGGTTTTATCAAGCCAAGGGTTCATGTCACTCACAAGACATTAAGGTTCTTGAGACTGCCTAACGAAGCAGGAAGGTTGCCCACAAAGCTGTTTTCGTTCAGGCTTCTGATGAGAGAGCAATGAGGAGAAAGCGTATAGCAAGAACTGTGGAGAACAC